GGACCTCTAGGAGCCCCCTCTGTCTGAGGTTGCGCATCTTGGTGTTTTCCAGTGATTGCGGGAGTCAACTTGGCAGAGGAATGCCAGGCCTGCCTCTGAGTAAGCCAGCCATTTGCCACTGTTACGGGCTCTGATGGTTACTTTAATGACTTGTTACTTTGAGACCTGCATATTCAGAAAGCTGCCTGGAAGCTGAAAGGAATCATTACGATCAGAATCCAGCCTCCGCTGTTTAGAAATGAGGAAACAGACATGTTTCCTTTCAAACCACAAGATTGCAACATTGTGAGGTGTTATTCTACCAAAAGTGAGGTTGCTTTTGGTGAGGACATTCCCAACCACGTGTATTGGAAAGGTTACCTCTAAGAGAGTCTTATGGACATAACCATGTTTTTAAAATGTGCATTCAGCAAAACAGTGGCTGAGATGAGATCCACCCACCAATAATCTAGTAGCTGAATGAAGGGGTGAAGAGCAGGGCATCTCAGGTGGCTCATTTGTGTTACATCACATATCTATGACTTTAGGCCTGTCCCAAAGTTACTCTTAATTCCAGCATGCTCACCCTCGGAAATGGCGATAAATGCTATCAATGGCTGCATCGGGTTGCAATGCTGTCATGGAGGCAGTCAGCGCTGTAATGGAGGCAAATGCTTAGCCCACTGGCAAGCGTTAGCTATCTATATCTTTGCTCTTGACATTGTTGCCATATACTCATAAGTAAGTCTAGTTGTTTTATTGCAGACCTGTAGGCCTGGAAAAGACAGTGCGATGCAAACCAGGAGCAATAACACTAAGAGAAACTAAATGGCTTCGAGTAATTGTGCCCTGTACTGGAGTATGAATAAAAGACCAGGGCGTGGAGGCTGTGGGAATAAAAAAGAAGTGTGTAGAACGAATGCTTATCAAAGTGTTGTTTTTCTAGGTTAAATGCTAATATCTTCATATTGCTTTTGCTTAAACTGACTTAATTGTACTTGTTTTCAGCCACCATGTGCTAAAGTGAAGTTTAAAACCAAAATGTAATGTTTTAAAAGTGAAAAATAATGCAAAGTATGTTTTCTTGCTTTGTACTCTACTCCTCAAAGGAAATTCTCTGCCCACCCAATCAATTGCAATTCAGAGCAACCCTACAGGACAGGGTAGAACTGCCCCTGGGGGTTTCCTAGACTGTTGGTCATTATGGGACCAGACTGCATCATCTTCTCCCGAGGAGCAGTGGGTGGATAAACACCGACCGTGGGCCAGCAGCCCCACACTTCACCCGCTGCACCGCCGGCACTCTGTGCCACCAATGCCCTCTGCAGACCTACCAACGCTCTCCTATGCACTCCGGGGCTCTCGGGCGCTCTTTGCCGAGTACATCTTAATGGAGAAGCCACATAAGCTTTTCTAATGCAGAAAAAACAGAATCGAAAGAAGTGCCAGTAGATTTATTAACGCAAGACATTTCTTTATGTGAAAATAATTTTAGAAAAGGGGATTTTTGAAATTCTTTTCTTCATCTTTAGATATTTTAACCAAAAAAAAGTACAACATTGCATTAAATAGAAAATTCGTATTTATCCTCAAAGCGCAATTCTGTTGAGTTGAATCCAATTCATAGTGCAGAGCAGATCTGTAGGGTTTCCATGGCTGTAATCTTTAAGGAAGCTGCCTGCCACGCCTTCCACCCAACGAGTGGCTAGTGCACATCAACTGCTCACCTTTCCTTCTTTAACTGAGGACTTTAAGCACTGTGCCAGCAGTGCTTCTGATATTTATCCCAGTTACTACTCAAGTCAGTCCCCAAACAGCAGTGCGTTTCAAACTCAAAGATGATCATCGATGAGAAACTAGGGACCTTAAGGGCCCTGCTGTAGTTCACAGACATACTATCAGATATAACTGTGGAAGCACACACAGTAGAAGACGAAGTAGATGACTGGGACCTGCTATAAATAAGACACCTATGTGCATTGAAACGCAAAACTTGGACTGGGAAAAAAATCGGCAATGGCACAATGGATAAGGGTCTAATCTTTGAGGTCTATAAAAACTAATACCTCCATAAGAAAGAGACCAGTAACCCCATTAGAAATTGGCAAAAACATGAATGAGTAGTTCACCAAAGATGACCGCCAAATGGTCAACAAACATGAAAAAATGCTCACAGTGATTAGCCATCTGCGAGATGCAAATCACAGCAACAATGAGCTAGCACCTTACACCGACTGACAGCCAAGTTCATAAAACACAGAAAATGACAAGTATTGGAGAGGCTGCCGAGAGATTGGAACCCTTATACACTGCTGCTAAGACTGTGGCTGTGTACAAGCTTTGTGGAAAGCAATGTGGTGCTACCTCAAACAAGTGAGCATAGTCATTCCATAGGACCCAGTAATCCCTCTGCTGAGTATAAACCCTAAGGAAGTAAGAGCTATAGCAGGAACAGACATATGCACTCACATGTTCATTGCAGCCGTGTACAAACCAGCAGGAAGATGGAGATAACCAGCAGAATGGATAAGGAGTCTTTAGTGCATACACACACTGTTCAACCTAGTCATCGCAGGCTTCAAGTCTGGCTAGAAAATACAGTTAGGGTGGCTAAGGGGCTGCTTTTTAAAACACGTTCAACAAATTTGTACACAACCACAGAAGATTTGCAAGCCTATTGCTTTAAATTAGAGTTATCGAGATCCCTGCTTACTTCAAGCATGTGCTGATGAAGAGCAAGGCCTGCAGCCTTCGAGGAGGTTTACAACTCAATGTGAAAAGTTTTTAAATCCTCACAAGTGGCCCAATTGACTACATCCTATAAAACAGAAGAGATTGAAGCTGTCAAGGTTCCCATTGTGCTTGGATCCATAGTCAGTGCTCATGGAAGCAGCAGTCAAGAGATCAAAGGACACATTGCACACCGACTGCACAAGACCTCTTCCATGCATTGAAAAGGAAGCACATCACTTGGAAGACTAACTTGACCTCATCCAAGCCTTGCTCTTGTCCGTCTCCTCAGGTGCATGTGGAAGTCGAACAATGACTGAAGAAGACCAGAGGAGATTTGATGTCTTTGAATTAGGGTGCTGGCGAAGAATATCGAAAGGAAGACTGTAAAAGAACAGACAAGTCCACCTTGGAAGAAGTACAGTCAGAATGTCCCCTGGAAACACAGCAAGCAGGACTTTGCCTCACATACTCTGGACCTGTTGTCAGGAGAGGCCAGTCCCTGAAAAAGGACACCCGACTTAGCGAAGAAAAGTGTCCTGGAGAATGCGGTAGGCCCTCGATGAGATGGATTGACACGCCCCGCTGCAGCAGTGGGGCCAGGCATGATTGTGCGAGTGAGCAGTGCTGGGCAGTATGTCCTTCCATTGGACCTGGGGTCCTATGAGCCGACTGCCACATCTTTCTCCAGGAGCAACTGGGGGCATCCAACTGCCACCCTTAGCAGCCAAACATGGAACCATTGTGCCATCAGACTGATAATCATCTCCATAAAGATGACAGCCCAGGACACCCACAGAGGCACTTCTGCTCTCTCCTGTGAGGTCCCTGTGAGTCGGAATCAGCTTTGGGTGGATGGGGTTTGGCTTGGGTGGTCTTAGTGGCCTCCTCCATACACGGAGCTGTATTCCAAAGTATGCTCTTGCTGATACTGCACCCAAGCTGTGGGTGCCTCGGTGATGGACAGGTCAGGAGCCCTGTCTGCAGGCTCCTGCTGACCTTTGTGGAGGAGTTTTATGCACGTCTCCATGGCCACCATTGAAAAGATTGTGCATGGGAGTTTCTTGAAGGTCCCTAGGACTGTCTCTGTCAGCAGTGGGTGGTATAGATTTCAGACTCCAAAAGGTCACCTGTGAGCTTGTGTACTTCTTCTCTCCGCAAGGCTCACCCGCCTGGGAATGCGACCAAACCCAATAGCCCACAGCAGCCGACTGGATTCTGACTCATAGCAACACAGCGGAACTGTCCCTGAGGGTTTGGGGGACTGTAAGTCTTTGGGAGCAGACAGCCTAATCTTTTCCCTCAGAGCTGCTGGTAGTTTTGAACCACCAAACTTTCAGTTAGCAGCCCATCCATTAACCTGTAGCACCCCTAGGGTACAGACATGACCCTTGGGCATGATTTTTGTGGTGGATTATAATGTTCAACCAGATGTAACTGGTCCTTTGCTGAGAAGGAACTGCTAAGTCAGTGTGGAGGGAAAGGGCAGGGGGCAGGAACTGAACGCCTTAACTCTCTACAGATGGGTCAGAGAGCACCAACATTTATCCTCTTCCCTGGAAATGGTAAAGCCAGCCTTCCTGTGGCTGTTCTGCAGAATAAACTGTAGTATGTTGCCATCTAGTGGAACATACAGCAAACTAATGCATTCTGAGCACAACTTTCAGGCATGCTAATTACATGAGCTGGAGGAAAATTACCGAAGTGTTTTCTAGGCTGAGATGAAGCTGAACTTAATGCTAATAACTCTGTTTCCTTAATGTAAACAAAAGGTTACCCCTTTTGGCAAGGGTCCCTGGGTAATTGCCATCAGGAAACTGAAAGTGGATGATCCCTTGAGTTTCCTAGCAAACCTAGGTATCACTCAGTGGTCAGGGTCCAGCATTTTCACTGCCCTCTGTACAAAAGGGACCATGGAGGCTCTCAGTTAAAATCCTAGACACTGTGCTTGGTTATTACAAAATTATTTTAGTATGTTTTATACTGTGATTTTTTTAAATGTGAACTTGGAGATCGCCAATACACTGCTTACAGGCTTTTACTTGACCCCCTTCACCACCGAATTAAATTTCCACCGAATTAATGTTCCTGTTTTTAGAAGAAGCAAACACATTACTTCACAGAATAGGAATTTCACATTCTGGATTCTGAGTAGCCTCCTGGAAGTGCCCGAGCCTGTGGTGTCTTGACCTGGTTCCCATGAAGAGACCATAGCTCTGTGCTGAGGACGATCTCACCAGCACTGCCTGCTCACGTTGTGTGCTTTGTCTTCTTTGCTCCTCTTTGCCTAGATCCCTCCCAGGGGCCACGGCTGCTGAGTGTGCTTCAAACCTGAAGAAAATCTACACGGTGCAAACAGTGCAGGTAAGAGTGAGCGAAGTGACGTGTGGGTTAGCATGGGCCCAGTAAAAACCTACCAGTCTGCTGCAGCCGGGGGCCAAGCTCCGCATCGCTCCGCAGCTGCCTCCCAGGTCTGCTGTGGTTCCCCGCCACACCCAGCCGAAGTGCACCCCAGCAGCTAGCTGAGCACACACCCCGTGGCTTGTTCATCTCTTGGTGACATGTTAATATTTGTTCCACTACCTAAGTGTCGTGTAGACCCACACAGAAAGCAGACGTGGCAGTGGTTACGAACAAAGGTTTGGAGACATGCAACTAATCCTGGTTCAAACCCCAGCTCTGCCACTTCCTTTCCGTGCTTCAGTTTCCCACCTGTGAATCACCCGGTGGGGTTTTTGAAGGGTAGGGATCGCATAGTGAGAGAAAGGAAGTGTCAGGCGCAAAAGTAGAGGGTTTCACCCAGCTTCCTGTGTCATATTCCAGTTCATCAGCCCAAATTGGGTATGCATGCACCCCTGTAATTTCCACAGACGTGATATAGTCGTGTCAGCCACCCCGTGAGCTGCTGTGAGGCCCCAGAAAATGATGTTATCTCAGGCTGCATGCGTAGCATTTTCACAACACCTATAAGCTCATGGTTTTATTAGTCCTTTCTCTGTAAAACTTAGAGTAAAAACATTTTTTCCCCCGAATTTTCTAGAACAGTAGGATTCACACTGTTTTCCTGTCCTAGAACTGCCAGTAGATTGGTTGCCAGAGTGTCTTGTTGGCAGCCCCATACACTGTTGAGATGGCACAGAAAACCTTGGTCCTAAAATCTGGTTCCGAAGAGTCGGTGTTTCATCTGTGACACCATTTCAGGACTCTGGGCCTGGCTCCTGAGGGCCGGAAGCCAGTGTCCAAGTATAGTCCCTGGCACAGGGCTTTTCAGATCTGGCTGGGCGAGGACATAAACACGTGGACAGCAGAGTAGCAGTGTAGCTATGAATCAGCATTCAGTGCTAGAATCAGCATTCAGTGCCAGAGTACAAGCCCTGTCATAAGGCCGCGCATGGGCACAGCCCAGGGAGACACATGCTCTCAGACGCCGCCCAGGCTGCCCCTGGCTGCTGCTGTGAGGCTCTCTGGGCAGTGGTAACTTTGCTGGCAGTCCTCCTAGAAAAGTCAGAGTGCTTGGTTCCAAGGCTTGCCTTCATAGGAAGGCTGGGAGGTCAGATCCTCTTGTTTTTTCCAGGTACCCAGGCTCCCAAACTAGTTTGGCCTACCTGCCCCTCCCCCCCCCCCCCCCCTTTTTTCTTTGGGGGGGGGGGGGGGGGGGGGGGGGGGGGGGGGGGGGGGGGAAGCTCCGTGCCAGGGACAAACATTTGTACTGCACAGGATAAAGTGTAGGTATCTGCTTTTGTAGCTCCACTGAATCATTCCAGACCCACCCCACCCCCACCGCCCCTCCAGTGTTTGGAAAACACGGTTACGCTTTCCTACTCGGTTATGCCCCCAATGATGGGATGGCAGGGCACACACCGGTGATGCCCCCTTTAGGGGGGCAGGGGGTTGGCTTCCCTAGTGCAGCTTGCTCACACAGAGTATTTGTGTAGCCTCTGGACCCAGCGTCATGCTACACAGCGCTTCAGGGGCCACTTCCAGGTACCCAGGTGGGCACCTACTTGAAAATATCTGTTTAAAAGTATACTTTATGGGGGTATAATTTATATACAGTAAACACAGATATTTCTTAAGTATACCATTTGATTAAAAATTGACTCCTAGATACAACTATGTGACCATCACCCAATCAAGGTTTAAAAACATTTTCATCTCCCCAGAAAGTTCCCTCCTTCCCTGTTCCAATCAGCCCTTTTTCTCTTTACTAAAACAAGTAAACTCACCACCACTGAGTCAGTTCCAATGCACAGCAACGCTGTAGCACAGGGTAGAACTGTCTCTGTGGGTTTCTGAGACTGTTACCCTTTATGAGAATAGGAAGCCCGGTCTTCCTCCCGTGGAGTGGCTGATGGGTCTTGAACTGCTGACCCCATAGCTTGCTGCCCAACGTGTAACCACTACACACGACAAGCAACCCTTACTCTGACTTCCATCACCATGCATCAGTGTTGTGCATTAATTACCTATTTCCGTGTAGGCACAGTCAGTCCATACTGAGCTTGTTATGTTTGGCTCTATCCTCATAGTCCATGTTGAAGAAGTAAATGGCTGAAGGAGGACTGAATGCGTGAACCCCTTTCTAGGGCTCTAGTGCCACAGTGAGTGATGGATGCATTGGGCTACTAACCACAAGGTCAGCAGTTTGAACCCACCAGCTGCTCTTCTGGAGAGAGATGAGGTTTTCCATTTGTGTAAAGCTTTGCAGCCTTGGACACCACAGGCTTGTTCTCCTCTGCCCTGTCGAGGTGCTGTGTGTCTCAGTCGCCTCAGTGGCGTTGGGTTTGTCTGGAGTTACAGCAGACTCTTGGTGCCATGCACTCTTGACTGACATGAAAAGTGGTTTCGCCGTGGGGTCTTTCACCAGATACAGAGCATCTCCCTGGTAGTCTGGAGTGATTAGCAAGACAAGGTCGAAAAAGACTCCTTGGGGCTGGGCGGGATGAACAACTATGGAGAAGCCCTGCTCCGGTGAGAATAAACCCTTCCATGCCCCAGTTCTCCCACCTTCCCCTCCTCATTTGTAGACTCACTGGCGATGATAATAGAGACGATCCCATCACCAGGTGCCCTCAACGAGTGTCCGAGTGAAGTGTGCTTGAGGGTTTCAGTAGCTGTTTTACCAAAGTCAGTCACCAGACTCTTCTTAAAGGTGTGTTTGGGTGGACCTGGGCTGTTGGGAGTCTTTCGGGGTCCGCTGAGCATGCCCACCATTTGCACCCTCCAGGATTTACAGGGGGATTACGTGAGATCGTACACAGTTCTTAATAGCACTCGCCACGCCCTCAGCCCTCAGATGCTGGCAGCTTTTACTAATTGGTTAAGGGATTCTCCCCTTGACTAGCCCTATTGGTGGAGTGGTTACGTGATAGGCTGCAATCCAAATGGTCAGCAGTTCGAAAACACCATCAGGTCCTTGAGAAAGACTGGGCTTTATACTCTCGTAAACAGGTGCAGAGCCACGGGGGTTGATGGCGTTAGCATTGTCTCAATGGCAGTGAGAGTCAGTTATCCCTTGACTCCATCAATTGACTAGCTAGGGTGTGGGCTCGGGGTAGTCACATTGCCTGGGTATATCCCTGGAAAAGGACATCACACTTAGTCAAGGGGAGGGACAGCGAAAAAGAGGAAGACCCCAAAGATGGACGGACCCAGTGGCTGGGCAGTGGGCTCAAACGGAAGAACAACGGTGAGGAGGCACAGGACCGGGCAGTGCTTCTTTCTGCTGCACACGGGCGCTCTGAGTCAGAGCCCACCCGACGACGACGGCGGCACTTGTTAGTGGCAACAACGACATATGCCACTTCATAGTTTGGCCAATTTCATCAGCCCCGCCATTTCCCAGTTCATTCTTCTATAAAATGGGGACAATTAGGAGATATCGCCATTGTCTTACGGCGTGAGGAAGAAGTGTACAGGAGGAACAAGGTCAGCTGCCGTCATTTGCCCACTTCGATTCGGGCGTCTGTTAGGACTTTCCTCAGTCACGCTGTTGCTCAGGAAGAGGCAGGTCTCCGCTTCTGGGTTCCAATTTCAAACGGTAAAGCTGGTAAAGAGGTAGCCCTCCTAATACCTCTACTTACGAGCCATCTGTAACTTATCAGTAACATGGGGATTTCAACCTCAGAAAGTATTTTCTATCACGTGGATACGCCTCAGTTATTTAAAAACTAATGAACATGCCAGTTTGAAAGTGATTTGAGGACCTTCTTCCTTGCTCCCACTATCGTCATGTCTTGCGCACTTTTTCAGCACTAACAACAACAACAAAATCTGATTGATAACCTCGTCTGTGTACTTTTTGTCCAAAATGTGTTCGGATGAAATGTAAGAATCATGTGTTATCAATAATAGCTTCATATCAAGACATAAAGTGGCTTCTTATGCTTTGAGGGTCTTCAGTAAGTTGAGGGAGTAATTGCTGCCCCTATTAATTAGCTAAGGAGCCCTGGCGGCGCTGGTGGGTAAGCATTGGACCATG